CTACCAACGAGGTTGTCTAGTACAGAGACAACCCTGGGTGGAGGCCTTTGGGACAACCTAGGAAGTCGTGGCTTGGGCAGATCAATCAAACCTGTCGTGTGGAGCTCACGATGGGCCGAGTCCTTGCCTGGTGGCTCACCATGAGGGATCCTCATAGGTGGAAAGACAGAGTGGATGCAGTTATGCACACCTATCAGGGTTAATACCCCAATGATGATATATTCACAGTTGTTCATCCATGCATTTTCATATATGCACGTACATCCCAATATTCACATATACATGTATGCATATACACCCATCATGTACAAGTTTGCTTATGCATCCATCATGTACAAGTATGCTTATGCACCCATCATGTGCAATTAAACTTATGCACCCATCATGTACAAGTGTGCTTATTCACCCTTCCCCTCCCAATACCTTGCGCATTGTTGTTGTGGAAGGGCTTAGGAGATGGGGGGGCTGACAACCAAGGTAGGGGATCACTCCTACCTTGGGCCTCAGCCCTCAGCTCAAGTAATTTTGCTTGGATCTTTTCTTTTCTTTCCTCTTCTGTATCTTCTTCATCCCCTTCTATCCCATTTGTAAGGTATGAGAGCCATGTTGAAACGATGAAAGGCTGACTTTGTGTCAGTCACGAACAGCCTCCTCATGAGCACGTCATTCCCTTGGTTAATTGCGTAGCCCTTACCCCTTATGAGGACCCTGAGGGGTAGACTTTCTTTTCCCCAGTTTCTTCAGGCTCACCATGGCCAATAATAAAGATTCTTTACCTTTAATAGGGGCATTAAGGCTTGCCCTAGCATCAACGAGCCAATCTGAATTTGATTTTGATGGTTTTCCAACCCCTGCCCAGCCTTTGACCATGGCTCTGACCACTGATACTAATACCCGCTCTTCGACGCTTACTGACAATTCTCTCCATTCTGAACCACCCACCCAGGTTATTCCTTAACCTCCAGAAAACACCCCTTCCTCTCTCCCAACATTCTCCTCTCCATCTCTTACTGCACAGTCCTCTTCAATGTCTACCCTATCTTCCCATATTACTACTATTCATCCTTATTGTCCTCCCCCACACAGAACTACTCAACTCCATACCACCTCATCTTCCTCTCGCCCTCTTCCTTCTACTGCCTCTACCTCTGCAAACCTTTTGAGAACTGTCATCTTCACCCAACACCCCTCCAGAAACCCTTGAAGACCTCCAAAACTTCCAAAAGATGAACCAAGGGAACACTCCGCTCCCTCACCCACCCCCCAATCCCTCTGTTCCTACTCCTTCTACATTTAAAGTATTTGCAGATATCCATCCACTTCAAGTTCCCTCCACCCCCTTCCTCCTACACCCTCCCAACCAAAGACTATATACGAAAGACAGGAAACATGCTATCTAACGCATTCTAAAAAATGTGAGCGCCCCGGTCGTCCAGCGCCATCTGTTGACTCAACGTCCAACTAAACGTCTGACGTCCTTCAGTGAGGGTGCGCTCACTTGAGCTCATGTTCTTGGTCAGTTCTGACTTATTCAGAGGGGGTTGCGAATAGCTTATTTACTAATATATATGTGTATGTGTGTATATATATATATATATATATATATATATATATATATATATATATATATATATATATATATATATATCATGACTTTGTAGTAGCATTTATTTTCTTTATATAATTCCTTCGCCCCTCACAGCCCAAAACTACCCATTTGGCAATTTAAGGCTGGTTAACAACTGTAAATTGTTTTTTATATATCAGTTTTTTTCACTCTTGATGTTAAATGTATCATCAGCTTACGTCAAATTTTAGCTTAAAGCTTGCACTATATTGTTAAGTAGATTTTTGGCCTCTACTTTTTTTTAGAGGGGCATCATGACTTGATACCTTTACCAATCAAAATAATTTCTTGTGATCCAATTTATATCTTGCTTATGTCAATCTGATCATCACATATCTTAGGTTACATCTAAAAAAGCCTAAATATTACAAACCTTTCATTTTCCTTGGAAAAAAATATGAAATATAAGTTGTTTATTCTCTTCTTTTTGCTTTTTACAAGCAGAACAAGGATAAGACTTTCCTGGCAATGTCGGGACTGTCATAACAATATTCGCGCGTCTATGTAAATAAACAGACGGGTATGAGATGACGTCACGAGATGCTCACTAACGCTATCTATTGGGCCGACGCTGCATAACTCACAGGATTTTGCTTGACTTTCCGGTTGTTCGTAGATAGTCTTTGCTCCCAACATACCCTACCCTCTCTATCACTCCCACTTGAATACTCACATGAATCCCCTCTATCACAACAGTTTCCTTCTCCAGACCCCTCCCATCCAGACATTCTTCATAATACTTCACCACCTTCCCCACTCCCCCTTTCTCATCCCTCGAATTATTCTCCTACTTCTCCAACAGCCACCTTTGTTTTCCTTGAACATGTCCCAATTCCTTCTCTGGTCACAGATACAATGCAATTCACTCAATTGCTCTAACCTCTTAACCCATCTTAATAATCCCTGCTATACTTCATTTACTTCCATCTTTTCCCTTATCCTTACCATACTTTCCTATAACACCCTCTATGCTTTGACATCTAACACCCTCCTCTCTCCCCAGATTATTCTACTTTTCCAACAGACATCTCTATTTTCCTTGAACATTGCTCCTCTACCTTCCCCAGTGACACACTATAATTCATTCAGTCACCTACTGCCTGAACCCTCCCCTTTCTACTAATATTCTCTAGTTAACTTACTCCCCTTTTTTTCCTTTTCACTACCACATTATCCTATAATGTTCACTAATCTTTGACATCTAACACATTTTATCCAATTCTTCAACTCCTTTACCCTTTCTGACACAATACTTTACCATAGTGTTATATGACCTTTGATGTCTAGCACATTTATTTTTTTTAAACATTAAACAAACATTATGCATCAATCATGTGCAAGTATGCTTATGCACCCATCCCCTCCCTATACCTAGCTTGTTGTCATCATGGGCGAACTTAGGAAATGAGGACAGAGACCCATCGTCCTACTGCTGTAAACCTTTTTAGTATTCTCCTTGGCCTAGCCAAGTAGGATCGATTCTTTGTGATTTCCACCACAGCCCCCTATTTTGAGAATACCATTCTCTTTCAGCAGTAACTCCAGAAACAAGTTGGTAACGTTACCTTTTGCAGTCATTCTGATCGTTCACGCCTTGTCACAATTACATCTGAAGCCCAAGCTCAGGCACTATCTACCCTAACTGACCTTACTGGCAAACCCATTCCTGCCGACCCTCATCCATCTCAATATTTGTACTGGAACTTGTTTCTATTCCCCCAAATGCTTGTCCCATGTATAACAAGGACTGGTCTGACTGTGAAAATGACCTTTCTTGCCTTGGTGAATATGTAGTGGCAGCACAGTGTTACACTCTTCCTCCCAGAGGCCAGCGTAAATCCCACTTCAATATTACCAAGAAAGCTTCCATAGGCAAGACCTCCCCCGTGAGGTTTATATTGGTGGATTAGCTTACCATGTCCGACAATATCAACTCCTTCTTCGTCTATGTCAGAAATGTTAGTGTTTTGGCCACCCAGCCAAACTGTTGCTCCACGGCCTGCTCCCCTCTACGTGCCCAACCTGGTCATGGCCATTCAAATTGCCCTGCTCAGTCATGTACATGTGCCAGTTGTGGAGACTCCCATAATGTATTTTATAGGAACTGCCCTGCATATAAGTTTGAATGTGAGGTAGCAGTCCTTGGATTTAAACAAGGCTTCACTGTACGTGGGGGCAGACAGGAAGCACGTTTTTCTTTATTAACTTATTCCAAAACAGTCCATTGCCCTGCTCCCCCACCATCTTTACAAGATGTTTCTGCATCTCCCCAGGTATCACTCCCCAATACCCTAAAACCAATGTCTTATGTCTACTCATCCTATCCACCAGTCAAATCTGTTTTCTAATCTAAATCCAGATACTCCAATCTCTACCACTTCGCTGATACTTAACCCTCCTACTCACTTTGTTGTACCATGTAACCTAAACGTTCCATTCCACGCTCTCCTACTACATTCTCTCCTACACTTTCCCCTTCTCCTGTCCCTCAGATAGATATCTTTTCTTCTTCTCTTCCTCATAAAACCTTTGTTTCTCAGTCCTCTTTACCCAACTCCCCTCCAGAAACCCTTGAAGACCTCCAAAACTTCCTAAAGATGACCCAAGGGAAAACACTGCTCCCTCACCCACCCCCCAATCCCTCTGTTCCTACTCCTACATGTGAAGTATTTGCAGATATGCATCCTCCTCCTCAAATTCCCTCCACCCCCTTCTTCCTACACCCTTCCAATATACCCCACCCTCTCTACCGCTTCCACTTGAATACTCTCACGAAGCCCCTCTATCCTGACACTTCACTGACTTCCCCCAGTGCCCCTTTCTCATCCCTCGGATTATTCTCCTCCTACTTCTCCAACAGCCACTTCTGTTTTCCTTGAACAGTGCCCCTATTCTTTCCCCAGTCATAGATGCATTGCGATTCACTAAGTAACTCCTAAGTACCCCTTTATATTTCCCCTACCCCTTCCCAAGATACCTCATCCTCTCAACCACCCAAACCACCAATACTACCCTTTCCTATACAGTACTTTACCAGAGTGCTATATGACCTTTGATGTCTAGTACTTTTATTTTCAAGCATTAAACATTATGCACCCATCATGTACAAATATGCTTATGCACCTTTCATGTTCAAGTACATATATACACCCACCATGTACAGGCCCACATACTCGTGTACACACACGCAAATATACAGAGATGTTTCTTAGTACTTCTATATTACATTTAGTATATTTATATGAAGTTGAATTTAAACAGGCACTTTACTAATTTTATTTTAATGTTGCAATTAAATTAATACAGGCCAATTTGTTTTAAACTTATCATTTTGCCATCCTGTTAAGTCTTCCCTGTTAATCTTGCATTCCAGATGGCAAATTTGGTGCTATGATGCAAGTTGATATCCAGAATGATGGGCCAGTCACTATCAACATTGACTCGCCGTCTAAGAAGGTTAATGAGAATTGTACAGATAATCATCAGTGATGACTAAAAAAAATTGTATACATTTCTTATGTAATGTAATAAAATAATATATTCTAGACTATGATTTTATTTGATATCCTTTTCTCAATACAGAACACAAAGACAGTTACAAAAGTTATATTTACGTAACACCACACATTTCTAAGCAGTTGCCTGGGTTGCTACCATATGTTTTGCTTGGGCAAAGGCAGCCAGAACTGCAGACAACTGTATTTTTTCTGATGCACCAGAGCACAGCCGCACTTCAATGTCTGATAACCGTTCCACAAGATGAATTCTTACTTCTACTGGAAAATCAACTGAAATAAATTGGGACATATATTAGATTTTGTGTAAATACCCTTGCAGTATTTATAAATTATTACAAGTACAAATACAGGTAAATACTATCTACATTTTGTTATAAAAAATAAATATCTAACAGTTAATGGTTAAAAAGCAAAAATAAGTGTGCTAGATCTGTCATATAGCACTTTATATTGGAAACTATATTAAATGAGGGGTGAAGGGTGATAGTTGCTATGCGTCAGTTACCTAGAGTGATCTTGAAAGGTTCAAGATGGATAAAGAAATTGTGTGAATGGGCTATGGTGGGTTTAGGTAAGGGAATCACATAAGTGTTCATGTGTGTATCCAGGAGGGAGTGGAAAATGATAGAGGGGATGAAGGGAGGGAGAATGTATGTATAGTTGAAGTTCAGGGGGTGGGTTGTGTTGGGTGTAGGAGGAAGTGATGTAGGGGGAATATGAGTAGGAGGATGGATATCAGTAGTAGGTGGAGTTAAGGGGGATGGATTGTGTTGGGAGTAGGAGGAAGGGGTGTAGGGGGAATATGAGTAGGAAGAGGATTGATATCGGTAGTATCAGGAGGATGGATATCAGTAGTAGGCAGAATTGAGGGGGTTTGTTTGTGTTGAGGGGGGAATATGAGCAGGAGGGGGATGGATATCGGCAGTCACTTTGAGTGTGGAGGGAGCATGAGTTGTGGAATTTTGTGTCTCAAGTTTTGGATATCATCCATAGTTTCTGCTGTAGAGTTGGTTGGAGAGTTTTGTGAGGCAGGTTTTCTTAGGGGGAGAAGAGGAGACTGATATTTGAGGAATAAAGGTAAAGGTAGGTGGAGGTTAGTGTACACCCTAATAATGGTATTACATCTTCATTACTGGCCATGGGAAGCCTTGATTATCTAGGGGAAATAAACAGTCCACCCCTCAGTGTCCCTTAAGGGGTAAGGGCTAGACAACTAAATCGGGAATATCGTGCCCATGGTTCCCGCAGGCCGTTCAGGACTAGCACAAGGTCAACCTTTCATCCTTTCAGCATGGCTCTTAAACCTTAGGAAGTAGATAATAGAAGGGGTTGGGGAAGGGATGGAAACAGAAAGCTGGAGGGAGAAAAGGCCATGCAAAATTAGTTCAGTCGAGGGCTGAGGCCCTAGGCAGGGGAGATCCCTGCATTGGGCCTCAGTCTCTGTCTCCTAAGCCCCCCCACAACAGGCAAGGGATTTTTTTTTTTTTTTTTGGGGGGGGGGGGGGATGAAGAAGAAAACAATCACGATATTTGGGTCTTCACATTTTTACGTGTAGCACACATATATTCAGTCCGATTTTAACATATTATGGCTCATTTTGTAGCTGAATGGTATATCTATTACATGCTGCAATAAGGATTTGCAATATTTTTGTGCTTATAAAAAAAAAAAAAAAAAAAAAAAAAAAAAAAAAAAAAAAAAATTAAATAGTATTTTGCAAGACTTCAGAATGCATGTAGATGATAGAGGATTATGATGTAGTAAGACATCTTATACCATTGTTTTGTTAATACCAAAATAATCATGAAAAGATCAGGAAAGTGATAAATGTTGATATCTCGAAACATCACCTTTAGGTGGGGGCAAATCCTCACAGCTGCAAATTATGTTTAAAATTAATGTATCATGGCTCATTCTGTCGAAAAATAAAATATCTACTTATTCCATTTTCTCCCAATTCCTGTCTGTGCTTCTTGTAAGTCACAAAAGTAAAGATTTCGTTTTTTTTATTTTCGTGAAATCACCAATTTCAAAAAAGTTGAAATTGGAAGAGAGAGAGAGAGAGAGAGAGAGAGAAAAAAAAAGTTGTAGCTATAGGATAGTTCTGTTCAATAATAATGAAAATTGAATGTTTTATCATTTTTGAAGACGTGAGGGTAGATGAGGGAGCTGAACATTTCCTTGGGTAATGTCTGGGAATTTTTGGATGTCTTCAAGAGTTTCTAGAGGGGATTTGGGTAGGGAGGTCTGAGAAACAAAGGATCTCTTGTGAGGAGAAAAGGCGACTTATGTTCGAGGAGCAGAGGATAAAGAGGGTGTGGTAGGTAAAGATGGAGCAGAATGTTTAGGTTGTCTGGTGCGACAAGTAAAGTGGGGAAGAGGAACAACAGGTATCGGAGATGTGTTAGAGATTAGAGTATCTAGATTTAGAATGGAAAAGGGAGTTGACTGTGGGATAGGGGTGTAAAGGTAGGATGGTTCAGGGTAGAGGAAAGAGATACTGGGAGATGCAAAAACATCTTGAGATGGGGGATATAGAGTGAAGGCCTGTTTTGGAATAGGTTGTCGTTGTCGGGCTGTGGAGCAGCAGTGCTTGGCTGAGTGTTCAAAACGCCATTTGGGAAAGGGTCACTATAGTCGGATATGGTAGGACAATCCACCTACATAAACTTCATGAGGGTCATGTCTCCCGACACTTGGCAATACTGACATGGGACTTATGCTGGCCTCTGAGAGGAATAGTGGAGCACTGTACTGCTACTGCATCATAGTCAGCAAGGTAGGTATGTAGGTTATTTACACAGTGATCAGTTCTTCTCATATATGGGACAATCAGCTGGGGGGGATGGAAACATTTCCAGTAAAAGTATTAAAAGAGAGGTGAGGTTCAGCAGGAATGGGTTAGCCAGTAAGGTCAGTTAGGGTAGATAGTGAATAAGCTTGGGATTCTGATGTAACTGTGACTAAGCGTGAACGATCAGAGCGACTGCAAAACGTAACTTTGCCTACTTATTTTTGGAGTCATTGTTGAAAGAGAATGGTATTCTCAGAGTAGGGAGCTCGGGGGGAATCACAAAGAATTGATCCCACTTGCCTGGGCCAAAGAGAGTACTCAAGAGGTTTGCAGCAGTAGACAGTAGGAGGACAATGGGGTGATGTGGAGTGGGGTTATTCTGCAGGGGAGGGGGGGGGGGGCAATATTGAGGAAGAGGAGTAAAAAGGGAAGAGGGGTAGACATTATTAAGG